CACTTTGGCCTAACTGGAAAATGTCTGTAAGTAGAATTATTTCACCCAGGGTGACTGAGGAAACAAGACATTCACAGCAACTGAAATAAGGTGACCCGCAGGGGTGTGTGGGGGTGCTGAGGGTGTGGGGAGCGGGTTTGGGGGTCCCGGGGTGTGGGGAGCGGGTTTGGGGGTGCTGAGGGTGTGGGGAGAGGGTTTGGGGGTGCTGAGGGTGTGGGGAGAGGGTTTGGGGGTCCCGGGGTGTGGGGAGTGGATTTTGGGGGTCTCAGGGTGTGAGGAGTGGGTTTGGGGTCCCAAGGGAGCAGGTTTGTGGATCCCTGGGGTGTGGGGAGCGGATCTAGGGGTCTTGAGGGTGTGGGGAGCGGGTCTGGGGGCCCTCAGGGTGTGGGGAGTGGGTTTGGGGACCCTTAGAGTGTGGGGACCAGGTCTGGGGTTCCTCAAGATGTGGAGAGTGGGTCTGGGGGTCCTCAGGGTGTGGGGAGCGGGTTTTGGGGTCCCTGGGGTGGAGGGAGTGGATTTTGGGGTCCTGGGGTTTGGGGAGCGGGTTTGTGGATCCCTGGGGTGTGGGGAGCAGGTCTGGGGGCCCTCAGGGTGTGGGGAGCGGGTTTGGGGCTCCTCGGGGCTCAGGGGAGCAGCCAGCTAAAAAATAAGAAGTTAAAAAAGTAGTTTAAAAATGCCTATTCCGCAGACATCCTTCTCTCTAACCCAAACCAGTCCAGGAATCTGGGATTCCAGGACGCCCATGTCAGGGGTCACAGTCTGCAGCCCCCCTTCCAGCTCCTCGGGGCTCCTTCCAAGAACCTGCCCAGGGTTTCTGCGTTACAGCCACGGGCTTTTTGTCCCGTTTGTCTAATCAGGTGTTGCTGTCATTGATGCTGGTGAAATGACCCCAGCAAAAAGTGATGCTGCTTTTGAAACCCTGAAATAAATCTTCACCGTGTTGGCAGCTGAGTAAAATTAGGACAGCGATCAAAGGTTAGACAATGACATTTAATGTTACTCCAGTAATAGATTTTATCACTTTTCTTTAATCCTACCACAACAATGTGTATTTTCATATACATTATATTTCATAAAATGTCTTGATATGGAATTAGGAAAGCATGGGTTTAGTACTATTTACATATTTTAATTGAAACAATTTTCTTAACAACATTGAAAAATAGAAACTTAAAGTTCTCTAAATCGTGTTTTCAGCCAGTTAGTGGTAAACAAATGCATGCCTAGGAAGTTACACTCCCTCTAAAACGTGGTCAGTTGAAAGTTTCTAACTAAAGTGTGTATCTCTGTTTTGTTTCAAAAAATACATAAGTATGTCTGTCATTTCTGATACAAAATTCTACACTATCTTCAATAAATAAATAATAAAGCGATTCTGAAAAGTATGAAATGTAAACTTTGTTGTCCCTCCAACATACTTTTTTTTCTTTTTCTTCCCATTGCTTGAAACATTACAGTGGTCTTTTAGGAAATTATAATACACAGACACTTCCCAGCACAGTTTACACTTATTACCATACGGATCTACCTACCTGTTATGGATATATCCTAATTTCCTAATGGAAACCAATAAGACTTGTAGTGCTAGAGAACACCACCAACACAGGAGAGGTGGGAACCAGGACTGAAGGACATGCAAGGAACACCAAAACCCAACAACAGGCTCCACGAGAACGTTCACATGCGAATGACACAGGCTGGCACCTCCCATCCGGAATGAAGTCCTTACAAAAATACCAGTGGATGCGTGGCAGGGCATGAACAGAATGAATCCAAGCAGAACAAAGAGGAATTTGACTCTTGGGGCTCTTTTCCCTCTCGAGTCCAGACTCAGCAAAGCCCTTACGCGGGTGCTCCGGGGACACCAGACCTAAGTGCCCGCTTGGAGCCGGGGCTTTGCCAAACAGGGATGTGGGCCTGGACGTGTGTGTCCATGGAGCCAATGGACAGGGAAGCCCTGGCGCTCCCCAGGGTGACAAGGCTTTGGGGTTCCCCACTCTGCACCGTCCCAAGCTCTGTCTCTGGTCACATCCAGCACAGCCACCAACCTCTGGGAGCTGCTGCCCCGCTCCCATCACCCCTTGTCCCACACAGGTGAGCCCAGCACAGGCCAGTACCTGGGCACCACTGATTGCTTTGAAACCACACTCTGCGGGGTGGGAATTCCCTTCCTGAGCTGGAGCCGTGATTGTTTTTTCTTCCCCACTGCAGGTGACAGATCACCCACCTGGGCAGCAGCAGTAAAGGAGTATCCAAGTGGAACAGCAGGACACACAGAGCAGGGCTCTGTGCTTAACCCTTGGCTTCCTGTGCCAACATTTACAGTCCTGTGGACAACAGCAACTTCCAAAGGTACCGAGGGGGTGCACTCTTCTGGAGTGCAATTCATCTCTGTGCAGGAGGCCTGGACATCATTTATTTTCAGGGGCAATGCAAGTCATGAAGTGGTTTGTTAATAGAATTTTCTCTGTTTATAGATATAGACTATTTATTTTCTAAGTCTTTTCAGTACCATCATGAAGATCTTCAAAGATCTTCTTGCTGCGAAACTGCTCCTTCCATTCACGTCCCATTTACACCTCACTTTGCCGAGCAATAGGCACAGAATTCCTTCACGGGAAAACCCTGCAGAAAGCCTCCCAAACATCCCAACATTGCCTTCTCCATGGAAATTCAAGAGTAGGGCAACTGGAGCAAGCACAGCCACCTCTGTGGTTTGCCAGCCGTTCCCACCGGAGCTACAAGGAACAACAGGGTTGTTTCATCCACCCAGGAGACCAACTCCAAGTTCCACATTGAGAGATTGAGGGAGATCTCCTCACTAAACCGGGATTCGTGTTTTCAGTGAGAATTATCAAGGCACAAAGATGCTCCTGTTTGCTTTGATAACCCTCGGAGGTGTGAAGGGCGAGCAGTGGTTTCCTGCCACACCAGCCAGGACTCTGTGACAGCTCCCGCAGACCCCGACGGGCCGCGGTGACCTCGACCGAACGCCATCGGCCCCTGCCCTCCTACGGCTCGTCGAAGAGCTGCAGGTCCAGCCGCACCACGATCTCTCCCGTCGGCACTTCGTGCAGGAGGAGACACTTCGTGACCGGTCCCTTTGAACCCTGATCCTTCTTGATGTCTGCCACACGGATCTCTGTTCTGCCCAGGAAGTCTGGAAGGCAGAAAGAGGGAGCGCTCAGGAACGGCACAGCCGGGGTTTGCGGAAGGAACTAAACTTCCACCCCCCCAAGCAACAAAAGGAAGACACGAGTCTTCAGCCTGACTCTGGTTTTGCCCTTGATGAGGGCCAAAGGCTGCCAAGCTGCACAGAGGAGGGTTTAGCCAGACCATGTTACACAGCAGCAGCATTCCATGTAAATGTGTGGAAACCCCCCCTACGGAATTCACGGCTGCCTCACCCCAGTGACTTCTGGATTTTATGATATGTTAGAAAAAGGCCAAAAGCTGCTGCACAGTTAAACCTGAGTGTGAACCCTCTGGAGATGACAGAGCCAAGAAGTGCCTCGCAGCAACAACAAGGTCACCAGGCCAAGTGGTGCTGGCCATGGCAGTGCCAGTCCTATCCAAACACTGCCTGGGAGATTATGGCTCCAAAATACACTCGCTGATGCTCCATATGTTTATCCCAGGTTATGAAACTAGAATGAGAGAGGCTGTGGACTCCCCATCCCTGGAAATGTCCAAGGCCAGGTTGGATGGGGCTTGGAGCAACCTGGTCTAGTGGAAGGTGTCCCTGCCCATGGAAGGTGGTGGAACTAGGTGATCTTTAAGGCCCCTTCCAACCCAAACCATCCCATGATTCTACTGGGTTTGGAATCCTGGGTTCACCTTTGCCACTGTTCCTGCACATAACAGGAACTTGGAGGCATTTATCTTCCTCCTGCAGGAATCAATCTGTTTGCAAACAGCATCTAGAGTTTTTGGAGACTTAGCAGAGCTACAAATCACACTCTGGTTGTTGCCAAGTTGCACAAGAAAAGGAACTCCCAAAAACCAGAGAGAGATGGATTCTTTTTGCACTGATACCGGCACAACTCCACCGGGGAGCAAGGGTGAGCCATCTCCCAGTATGCAAAGGGGTTCAAATCTGGGGTATCTTTAAAAACCATCTTTCAACCCAACCCATTCCCTATGATTTCTGTCAGCAGGAATGCACCTCCTCAAAGCAGGAGATTGGAAAATCCCTCTGGCAGCCCCTACGCACCGTCCGGGGAGAACTGGTCCCGCTCGAACACCGTGATGCAGAGCACGTCCTGCTCCAGGTCCTTGATGAAGAACTGGCAGTTGGAATTCCACTTGGGGTTCAGGGTGTCCTGGATGGTCTTGGTGATGTGGCACTGGGAGCCCATGGTCACCTCGCAGTAGGGGTTACTCTTTCCTGGGACAAACAGAACAGTGTGATCCTCGTCCTCAATCTCCTTCCACTCCTACAGCCCTTGGGGTGGGAAAGACCTTGGCTTCACTGCCCTTGGGATGAACTCCAGGAACATCACAATGAACACACTGCTCCGCAGGGGGCTGAGCACCTTCTGCTCTTCCCTGCAGGACTTTGTGCCTTGTGATCCCTTAGGATATGGCTGACGTGGTGGGAACCAAGTCAGCCTGAAACAAACGCCTGACGCGGGACAACTGCAGGACAACAGCTGAGCTGCACAGAGTCACTGCTGCATATTTCACCTTCGTTAGACCCACATCATTGAGCAAAGCCGTGCTGGGGACAGAACCTCCTCCAGAGTCAGGTTGACAAGTGGGAATGTCCCTTTGATGGAGCACGTTGTGAGAAAGCCCAGCACTCACCATGGGACCTGCAGGGTTTCAGCTCGATGCCTTCCACCACGTTCACCATCAGCCTCCCGATGCCTGTTGCCCTTTGCGAGCGAACTGCGGTGAAACAGGAGAGAGAGAAAAGTCATCAAAGGATTTTCCTGCCCATGGACTTCTCCATAAAAGATGAAACCCCCTCATCCTATGCTGTACCTAAGTAGGCCTTTTCCCTCTTCTTCTTTTCAGTCTCTATGTAAAGTTCTGAAGCAGCTTTGATCTTCTGAACCCAGGCAGTCCTTCAGAAGGAAAGGAGAAAACAAAGTTGCAAAATGCCATTTCCGTTTTTCCCTGCTGGAGCACAGCAGGCAGAAAACTAAAGCTGTCCCTCCTTCCCAGCCAAGGCTCTGGCCCCACCCCAGCCTCTGCTGTCCCAGACCTCTCTGCCTGGAAGAGATCTTCCTGGAATTTATAGCACCTGCAGAAACAGAACCATCCCAAGCCAGCAGATCCCACCACACAAAGAAAGCTCAAGAGAACCACAAGCAGGAGCTACTTGGTGAGAAACCAAAAGGTAGAAAGAACAGGTTTGCTTTCACCAAGCCATTTGCTTTATTATAATGAACTTGTAGCCAGTAGGTACAAGACACCTGGGTTGCAGAGGTGGCCCCTTACCTTGATCCCTGAGGTTTCATCCTAAAATCCTTTGACCCTTGGGACATTTAAAACATAACTTGGGGGGTACATGGATGGTGAATGAGCACAGTGTCTTATGGGCCCTTCTGGGGAATCATTTCATCCTTAAGAATCAGAATTACCAAATATCCTGAATTGGACAGGACCCATAAGGATCACTGAGTCCAACCCCTGTTCCCAACAATCACACCATGTGCCTGGAAGAGACTGAGTGGAAAGACTGACAGAGGAAAAGGGTGGCAGAAGGGCTCCCCAGGGACCCCAAGGGTTTAGAAGAATTGCTGTGACACACAAGGGAGCCCAAGATCTGAGCCAAGGAAACATGGGGGAATCTCAAAGCTGTGGATCTGCTTCTGAACCCAGAATGAAGAGCTGCTGCTCCACAGCAGCACATGGCCTGGGTTGGGAGGGACCTTAAAGCCCATCCAGTCCCACCCCCTGCCACGGGCAGGGACACCTTCCACCAGCCCAGGGTGCTCCAAGCCCCATCCAACCTGGCCTTGGACACTTCCAGGGATCCAGGGGCAGCCACAGCCTCAAGATGTTTCCCACCTGGCACAACCAACACAATGTCTGCACTGTGGGGAGGGCTTTGCTGCACTTCCAGCTTTCAGTTTTTAACAAAAGTTACCTTTCAAGACCTTACATTGGGGAAGAGAAACCTTTTCAGTATAAATCAGTGTAGGCTTCTCTCTGTAAGCTCACCAGGGATAAAACCCATCAGCTCAGGTTTTAAGGTTGCCTTTCCTTTGACTTTTCCAGTCTGAACTGAACAAGATAAACTCACTGGGTTTAGTTTGGTAGGTTTTGCTTCAGATTCTAATTCTGACCTGTTCCTTGATCTCCTTCAACAGCCAAACAAATGCTGTCACTGCACAGACACACAGCTGGTAACAACAGAAGGCACAATTGCATCTTTTGGCTTCTTCACATTAACATAAAATGTTGTGAAATACGGCCTAAATATCCACCCTCCCAGATGTTTCATTCTTGCTGGAATTCAGGAAACATCACTGTTTCTCCCTGCTTTTCATACACTGACTATCACCATATTCCCAAGAAAAGGGAATTTTCCAGTCTTGTAAAAGAAACTGCTTGGAGACTGCTCTGCAAGTTTCCATCATAACCATTCCCATCACCCACTTGCACCAGACCTCACAAATTCAGCCCCAGCATGGCCTTTGGAGACTCTTACCTCTCATTAATGCTTTCAGCCCGGAGGGTGTAGACTCTGTCAATGTGGGAGATGTGGAAGATGGGCTCATCTCCAGAAGGGTCTGTGGGTAATTTTACCAGTACCTCGTTTAGAAAAATGGGCTGTAAAACATCAGGCAAAGCTAGAGTTGTACTGCACAACGTCTGAGCAGGCGCTTTCAACACAGAGCAAGTTACAACAGGTTTAGCTGAGCTGCCTCTGCCCTTCTGCCTCCCATCTGCCTTCAGATTAGATAATGGGAAAATTTTAAAAATTGGCAAAGACAGAGGTGCCTCCAGAGCCTGGAAACACTTGTCCTGGAGGAAGCCAGCAGGTTCCTGGAGCACAGCAATCCCTCCTTCCCCACAGACAGCAGCGAACGGCGCTCTCCCCGTTGCTGCCTGATACAAAAGTGACCCTTTGCTGGAGAGTTCTGTCCAAGCAAAACTTCAAAAGCATGTTTTGTTTTCTCTCTAAAGCACATGAACTTTCTCTCCACCAGTCCCAGCAATGCCCAGCGTATTCCAAAGCTTTCCAAGCTCTTCTCTGGGACGGTCTTGCCCACACCCCCAGCATGGAGCTGCTGCCCTGCACACGTGGCCTGTCACCGCCCCCATTTCAGAGAGGTACTTACAGTTTTGTACATTTTGTACTGCAGGTTAGACTTGGGGCTGAACACCTTGTCTGTGCCCGAGGAGCCAAGAGGTTTTATGATCTGAGTGAGGAGGAGGAAGTCGTTGAACAGAAAACCATAGAGCTCCTTGTTACTCTTGGCTTTATAGAGCTTCCCACTGTGCAGGAACTTGCGTGGTCCCAGGCAGTTTGTGACTGAGTTAAATACGAGTTGCTGCGAAAAGTAGAAGAAGAACAACAACGCACTGTATAAAGTGAAACAATCGGGGTCCCCCTGAAAGAGACCAGACACAGTTTTGAGTCCTGGGTTGGTCCTGAGCCGGCTCACAGGATGAGGAGCAGGACGAGCAGTGCAGGTCAGAAAAGGCTGCATGAAAAGTGACTTTAGGGGGGCCCATCATCACACAGGCACGGCCTGGGCACTCAGGGACAAGCCAAAAGCATCTGTGCCCCCTCCCCACGCACATGCAGCTCTGGGAGTGGAGCTGAGCTCACCAGGACCTGTCCTGGAGGAGCAGCAGCACCTCTGCCAGCGAACTCTCCAGAGCCTGGGCTTCCTTGACAAGGTCTGGACTTTGAATTGTGCTTGAATTTCACCCCCTAAAGCGCCCCAAAGGAATTCCAGGTAGCCCCAAACCCCGGGGCAGCTGCTGACACTGGAAGTGGTAGAATCACAGCCCCACCCAGGGGTTGTTACCACATGAGCAGGGTGTGGCCCTTCCCTAAAGCGCCATTTCCAGGTTTATTTTCACCAGGGGATGGTACAGTTCTTACCACCCTCACTGACTGACTGGGCAGCTGGATCAGGGCTGGCTCCTTTGACAGGCTGGAAACCCCTCAGACAGAAACTGGGGAAGGCTGCATTGCTCCTTCCCCCCAGCTGAGGCTGCTGCTGCTGCAGTTACTGTGGCAGAAGCAGCCAGAGAGTCTTTCAGGTTATAGATTTGGTGCTCTAGGGCCAGACATCACCCACAGAAGAAAAAAGCAGCCACTTTCCTTCAGGCAGTGGTTGTCCCACAGCTGAATGTGTCTTTGACCCTTCTGACCTTGTCACACTCATCTTTCTCCTAAAACAGTCAGATTTCCTGAGGTGAAATACAATTTTCTTCTAGTTTGTAAACCAACCAGTGCTTGTTATTTTTTTTACCTTCTAGAACTGACAACTTGGTGCATACTTTGAAAGTCAAGTTGTGATCTGTCTGCCTCTGTTATTGCCACCAACACAGGAAGGCCATCAAAACATGACCCCTCACTTTGCAGGACATACAGGCACAATGTTTTCATTACAGTTTCTAGTGAAACTTAGCATGTTACCTGGAAAAATAACATGGAATGGGAGGCAGGGATTCTCTCTGTAAAGTCTCCAGAGAGACTTGATCAGTATTCTTGAGTTTTCAAACATACACAAAGCTTTACCACAGAAAATCTGTTCTGTGATCACTTTTAAAGCATTCCAAAATGGTCAGGAATAGCTTTGGGATGGGACACAGCAGTTCCACAACCACTGTGCTCTAAAGAACTATGAAAGTGGAAAGCTGTGGTTGAAAACTGCAGCACTGAACCTGGGACTAGTCCAGAGCCAGGCAACAAAGCAGGATCTACCATGGGGAAGGCAAGAACACGAGCAGCAAAAAGGGTCACGTGCAGGAGTGAGAGGGAGACAAGGGAGGGCGAAAACAAAGCACTGGGGATTGTGAGACTGGCTCAGTCCCACTCTTTGCCCTGGATGCAGTGCCATGAGTGAGCTGTGGGTTATTCCCGGGGTTGCCCACGTGTGCAGGTCCCTGGGGAGCCCCGGTTTACCTCGGAGAGGCCCTCACACTGCACGTGGGCCTGGATCCACTCCAGCCTGTCCGAGTTCTCCTTCTCGCGCACGCCCTCGTTGACCTGGGAGCACAGCTCCTCGGCCTTCTCCAGGGCGTGCTTCAGGTGGCTGTGGTCAGGGTGGTTCTCAGGAGTGTTCTCTATTATCTGCAGAGACACAACACACATCATCAGGCTCCCCTGTCTCCTGCAGTCCAGCTGTATCTGTGCTGTCAACCCCACGCTTCCATCCTAGGGCTTCATTTCTGTCAGAGCCAGGCAATACCTTCCAAATATTTCCCCTCCTTGACAGATGTGAGAAAAAGGAGACAAACACTATTTGGGAAGTGCTGGGATGAATCCCTGGCTGCACAGCCGTTGCATCAGGACACTGCTGACTCCTCTGACACAAGGACACACATTCCAGCCAAACACAGAAATAATGGCCACAACTCTTTAAGGAACCTCTTGCCAACATCCAATTTGTAGCCCTTTCCTTGGAAAGCCTTGGGCCAGGTTCAGTGGCATTATTTGGGATGGTCAGTGTTAGGCAGCAAATAAGAGTTAGGAAAGGGTTGTAAGTTATCTAGCAGTGTCAAAGGATGGGAACCTGCAGGAATTTGGCTTCCAGGCTTCCCCACCGTGTCATTTCCCAGCCTACGGGGAGGGAAAGGGAAATTTGAGCACAAGCTTGACTCCTGTTATCAGAATCTGAAGTTTTCCTTCAACATTCACTGCCTTGTGGTTCTTTGGGTGCAAGTCTCACCTCTGCTTCAAATGGAAACACCAAGTTGTGCTGAAGCCCAAGGAATTACCCCATTTTCTGTAGTTGGATCAAATATTAAAGGACACCCCCCCCATACCCCAGCACATCAGACATCCCACAGTGACAAAGCCCGACACAAACAGGGACACTCCCCTGTAATGAAGCTCTAAGCCAAGCAGCAGCAACCCCCCAGGCGTGCACAGGACGTACGTTTTTAATGATTAGTGGGTATCTGGTTACCCGTTGCATAGGCTTTAGCAGAAAACTGGAGAGTGGCATTCCTTTACAGCGAGGATCCATTGCCAACCTCTGAAACACCAGAGAGGTAAAACCTGGTTAGTCACGTGGTTTAAACCTGGGAAAACGAGCTCCTCCAAGAAAGGAAAAGGCAATAAATGAGCACCAATCCTCGGCTGAATCTGGGCTGAGCTCGCAGGACAGCACAGGGGAATTCCTTGTGCTTTTCCAACAGATCATCACCTGCCCTGTCTGGGTAAGAATCCCAGAATCACCAAGGCTGGCAGAGCCCTTCAGGATCATCCAGTCCCACCCCAGCACCACCAGGATCATCCCGAATCCATGTCCCCAAGGGCCACATCCAGACACCTCAGGAGCACTCCCAGACACAGGGACTCCACCACCTCCCTGGGACACTTATTCCAAGGCCTGACCACTCCCTGTCAGGGGGTTGCAGAGCCAGAAGGTCCCCCCTGAGCCTCCTTTTCTCCAGGCTGAGCCCCCCCAGCTCCCTCAGCCCCTCCTGCTGCTCCAGCCCCTTCCCAGCTTTGCTCCCTTCCCTGCACACTCTCCAGCCCCTCCGTGTCTCTTCTCAAGCGAGGAGCCCAAAACTGAACCCCCCACTCCAGGTGCGGCCTCGTTCAGCCAAAGGAAAAGCTCCGTGTCCCGAATTCCCGGGGGTCGCCCCCGCTCTTACTTTGACGAACTCCTTGAACTCGGGCACCTCGTCCGTCTTCTGCTGGATGAGGGCGGCCCCGTTGAGCTGGCAGCTGCAGAACCTGATGTAGGGCTGCATGTGGGGCAGCTGGGCCGTCAGGATGTCCCCGATCATCTTCACCGGCATCTTCTCCCCGGACATCTTCTTGCGCACCCGCAGGGCCCTGCAACGCCAGGTCAGAGCCGACATGAAAAGGGAAGGTAATTTTCCCTTTCTGTCAGTTTAGAAAGAGAGGGATGGACGTGTGGGAGAGGGAGGGATAAAAACCATTGCTCTGAGCTCAAAGCTGCTTGTCCAGGTTTTAGCCTGGTTTCCTGAGGGAAGGAGGTTTGTTGTCATTTGTTCTGTCGCTGCCATAACTCTTCAACTCCTGGGCCATTTTCAAAAGGTTTTACGAAAAACAGGAGATATCACAGAGGTGTAAAATCCCCAGAAGTTCAATGCAAATTAGGGAAAAAATGAACTTTATTAATCCTCCTGCTTATCAAGGTCCAGGTTTAACTCCACCCTCGCTCAGTCTCTCTGGCAGTGACCAGGTGAGCAGCCTGCAAACCAGCCACAGCATTCCCTGTGTCCTGCTGGAGCAGAGGGATGGCTGAGGGAGGAATTGGATCCATCAGAGGCCACGAAGAATGAGGGGAGGGATAAGAGTGGAGTCTCATGGCAGGGAGTTGGGGTTGGAGCAGCTGGAGCCTTTGGGAGGAAGGTCCTCTGGACACAAATCCATGGGGAACCAGGCTCTGGTGGTGCTGCTTCTTCCCCATCAGCACATTCAGGTGCTGTAACCCTACACTAATTAAGGCCACACTAATTAATGGAATGCATCAGCCAGCTCGGAATAAGAGAGGCAGAGGCTGCTGTGCCTTAGTTTTCATCCATGGATAACAGGACTGGAAGTGGGTGTGGGCTGGGACAGAGGAGGGAAAAGTCTATGACAGGGCTGGGGGAAGCCTTGGCAAATCCTGCTTTTCAGAGGAGAGCAGGGTCTGCCCTCTGGAGCACGTGGACAAGAAGAAAGTAAGTGCAAATATTTACTCAGCAAAGAACTGCTGGTTTTTTCCCAACAACAACAACAAAGTCACAGCAAACACTGTCCATATTTTGCTTTTCCCACAAGGAGAAACATGTGGCCCTTTTGGTTCTGATCTGTGTGCATGGTAAATGTTTTCCTGCAGCTGAAAGGAGGAGCAGGGCAGAGGCCCAGGGTCTTGTTATTGCCAAGTATGGGGGAAAAACCCAACTTACTTCAGTAGTTTTATATTGCACATAATCAGCTCCTTCCAGTTAACAAAAATCATGGCAACTTCTTTTTCTGTGAGCAGCTCAGATTCCAGGAGTGGCTTCTGGAAGATCTGGAGGGTCAGAAAATGAAGCTGTTTAGAATGAACATGTATGACCCAAGTGACTGAGGCTGATTTGGCCCATTTCCTTAGGGAGGAGGGGAGAAAACTTGCCCTCAGGGCAGCACTTGTCCCTCAGTGGGACAGAATTCCACCCTGCTCCATGTCCCAGACATCCCCTGTGTTCCCTGAGAACGGCTGAGACTGAGGGGAGACCTCAGAGATGTGAGGGGCACATGGCTTTAACAGGGAATACTCTGAGTTTGTGTTGCTGGTGGTGTTCATTCAGATCTGGAGAACCTGTTTGAAACTTGGGAATGTCAATTCTGATCTGGATAATCTGTTTAAAACTGGGGAATTTTACAGAGAGGTCTCCTGCAGAAGATCTCAGGAGTTCTTAGATAAAACACCTGAAATATGTTTTCCTTTGGACTCTTTTATGGAAGTTCTGATTTCTCTCAGGGTGTTTCAGGTTTGCATATCTCAACCTCTTCTTCAAAACAGGGCTTTGCTTCTCTGTCAGAAGGATTGTCTGAGCTAATTCTATTTTTTCCTACGTCAGGGATGTCCCTTGGAACACGTTAGGCAAACCACAGTAAGTGATAACTCAGGGCCACCGTGGCCGTGGAAAATGGGCTTCCTTTCAGGGCATCCATTTCAGTTCAAGGACTTGTACACGAAAAATCTACACTGAGAATCAGGAGCTTTGCTAAAATGACACTTCAAACATCAGCGTTTTGGTGATGGTCACACCAGGGCTCAACACGAGCTGCACCCGCACATGGATCTCTAAATAAATAAATGTAAAGGGCAGTTTAACACAGCTCATCCCAAGGAAGCCAAGCCCAGCAGGGACACACAGTAGTTTGCCACCATGAAATGTTGATTTGGTTCCAAAGGGGAGGGATTCAGGGGCTCTGCCTCACCTCTGTGACCAGCTGCAGGTCGGTGACGTAGTTCTCCTCAGTGACGATGAGCTCGTGGATGTAGCCCTGCCTCTTCCTCTCCGTGGGAGTCAGCATGTCCAGCAGGTGCAGGTCTGCACACCCTGGAAAACACAACAGGATCCCGGGTTTTACTGCTGGTCACTGACAAAGTGCCTCAGAGCTGGAGCAGGGACAGCACCACTGACCAGGAGCTGTGCCTGTCCTGGTCACTCATTCCCAGGTAACGACACAACCTCAGCAGTGCTTCCCCTCTCAGGGACTCACAGCACTGTTGGAACACCTTTCTTTAACAAAGGCCATCTCCAAGTGTGAACTTTCCCCTGGTGGCCAAGCTTTAAAGGCCCCCTCAGTGCCACCTGCCCATTCCCAGCCTCACCATCCCCCTGAGCTGTGTCCTTCCACCAGAGCCCAAACCAACCCCACAGATGGCTGGTAACAAAAATGGGGGCAAAAACTTCCCGTGGTGGGAAGAAACTGCAGAGACATCCCAGGAGGGGAGAGGATTAGGGAAGAGCTGCAGTGACCACAACGCTCTGATGGCACTTTGGAGTGACACGTGAACCCTCAGCTCACGGACACTCTGAATTCCAGGGTCTCCTTTATCCTCCTCGTCAGGGAAATCTCACTCAAGAAGGTGCTGCAGAGCTTATTTGCTTCTTCCCACTTAAAAATTAAATTAAAAAATTAATTCATTAAAAATTGCTTCTGAATATTTGAAGGACTAAATATCTGAAGGTCTTTGGAGACCCCTCAGATTTCCCAAATTTCCAGGCCAAGGCAAAGGGGTCAATTTTGTTCTCCTTTAGAAGCACAGGAAAAGGTTGTCACTAAGAACTCACTTCCATCAGCTTTGTCCTTTAATTGTTGTAAATCACCTCCAGTCCAGATGGGAGAACTTTCCTACAAATTCTACAATCTCAAATTTTATTTTCTATTCCAAATTAGACAGAACATTTAATCCTTTTTTTTTTTCTGGAGGCCATTACTTTTCAGGTGAGTTTAATGCAATTCTTCTGAGACTGGAACACAGAATGTTGTCTTCCAGTTTTCACCAGTTTTACTACTTTTTGGCATGAAATACGACACATTTCAAAAAAGCAAAGGTGATTTCAAACAGGGGAAAAACCTTTTGCTGTTTAAATGATCTATTTCAACTATTTTTACACCACCAAAAATCTCCAGTTTAATTCTTTCCCTCACCCCTCATCAAAGTCTGGGAAAATTCAGTATATTCCCCATGGAAACAAAATTTCCCTATGGACACAACAGACCCTGGACAACTCTTCCAGTTCTTTGCATACAAAGTTAATATTTAGGGAGTATTTCCTGCATTTTCAGCTTCCTGAATTAACTCAGGAGCTCAGACTGTGCCACTAAAAAGGTCCTCATGTATCCCCCTGATTTTCATGGAATGCCGTCACCTGCTGCTTTAACTAATCCGTGCCCCTGAAAAGGGAATGAGAGATTTGACTTAAAAATTAACAAAAACACCCCGAAACCAAACCAGACAAACCCAGAAAAGTAGATACAGACACTCAAGGTTGTTTCCTCCCTGATTCTGAAGCTGGGAAGGGATCAGACTGGCAGCAGGCACTGATAATGATCCCTTGGGATTCAGGACAATTGAAACTGAATTGGAACTTGGCTTGAAATGAAGAGCAGGTCTGGAGAATTATCATTTTTATGCCAAAAGAAGCAAATTTTGGCCCATCACAAAAGCCACGAGTTTCACTTCTGTTCAGTAAATGCCTGGTTTCAGAGCAGTTTCTTTGGTATCAGGTAAATCAGAGGTTTGAGGAGCAGAACCAGTTCTCCTCATGCATGGTTGGCTTCATGAAAAGTGAGCCAAGGGTTTAATTCTTTTTCCCTTCAGAATTTACTGTTCAAAGAACCCCATGACCTTGGCTTGAAGGGCTGTGTCCAACCACCAGCCTTGCAGAGGAGGCACTGACACCCTGAACAAGGAAATATTTTAGCAGCTCCTTTGACAGCTGGGATGCAAATGGGCTGCTCTGAACTGCAACAAATGGTCTCCTCTTGAACAACAAACATTTGGGGAAAATGGCCCAAATCTGAGCAGAATGTGCAGGACAGACTTTCCTGATGAGGGACTTTCTTCCTGAGGTGCACAAGTACTGAGATTTTTCTTGTCTTTGGAATAAAACCACTGAGGAAAAACTGGGTTCCTTTCCAAGTGGAAATGTCAGGGCTCATTTTTCATGGATGCCAAAGTACTTTCATGAACATCTGAATCCCACTAATCACAGAATCATGGAATGCCTTGGGTTGGAAGGGACCTTTAATATCACCCAGTTCCCACCCCCTGCCATGGGCAGGGACACCTTCCACCAGCCCAGGGTGCTCCAAGCCCCGTCCAACCTGGCCTGGGACACTTCCAGGGATCCAGGGGCAGCCACAGCTTCTCTGGGCAGTTCTTTGCTACAATCAGAGTCAGGAAAGGCTGGGAAATGACAATGGATAACTTGGAATCACCAGCACAACTCCACCTGCACACCCCCCTGGGCTGGTGGAATCACCCCCTCTGTAAGTGTTCAAAACGTGTGGATGTGGCACTTGGGGATGTGGTTTGATGGTGGACATGGTGGGGGGGGGTTGATGGTGGGACTGGATGTCATCCTAAAGGTCTTTTCCAACCTTAATGATTCCATGATTCGATGTTTCTACTGAGCCCTTTCCAGAGTCTGCTTGGGGAGAACAAAATCCTCCGTGTGAGGGCACAGAAACACAAACCAGCAGTTAACTCGGCCCTGGCTTGGTTTCTAACACATCAGGTCACTTAAATCTCACCTCTGAATTATGAGCCCTGAGCACTGATGGCCAGAACCAGCAAATGAGCCACGAGCAGAGCCACAGATCCAGGGCCAAGGAACTGCCCAGCCCAATTCTCCGTGGTCCTGCCACAACAATCAAGGGGCTGGACAGGCTTTTCACTTGGGATCAGGAATGTGGGAGCTAAATCAAGTATTCTGTGTGTTCTAACCTTTTATCAAACAATATTTTATTGGTTTTTCCCTTTCCTGGGCAGCCCTCCAGCCATTGCTGGGAACAGGGACAGGACCCAGGGAAGGGCTGGAGCTGGGACAGGGCAGGCTCAGGGTGGATCTCAGCACAAGGTTCTTCCCCCAGAGGGTGTTGGGCACTGACCAGGCTCCCCAGGGCAGTGGGCACGGCCCCAAGGCTGCCAGAGCTCCAGGAGGGTTTGGACAATGCTCTGAGGGACAGGGGGGAGTGTTGGGGTGTCCTCAGCACTCCCTGCTCAGCTAAGGAGCAGTTTGTTATTTGCTGTTTGTGTCAATTCATCTGATTCAATAATATTTGGGGAGTATTGTCCCTGAATTTGGTGGAATTGTCTAAAATAAAGTTTAAAATAAGGCTCTCATTGTCATCAGAAGAGACTGCACAGAAGCTGCTCTTTGCCCAGAAATCAAAGAGCCAGAGCCAGCACAGAGCACTACAGAGGGCTTTGGAACCAGAGGCCACAACCAGAATTAGTTATTTTGGTTCTGGTAACACAATGTGTGCAGTGAGCTCACGGGGACAGCAAGTGATGCCACTGAAACTCCAGCAGGACTGAGGTTTAAATAAAACTGATCCTGACAAACCCACATTTCAGACTCTGAGTTGTTTTGGACAGATTTCAAGTATTGACAGAGATATGAACAAATTCCCTGAAAGAACATCCATGGGAATTTTTTGAGTTGAATACAGAGGGAATACAGCAAAAACTGTGAAGAGCAAAATCCCCCAGCACTGGGAGTGGTCTGTAAATCCAGTCTCCTCATCCCTTCAGGGGCAGCTCCTGTACCCAGGACATGGCAGTGAACATAAAGAAGGAATTCACAGAATCCCAGGATGGTTTGGGTTGGGAGGGACCTTAAAGATCATCTCCAACCCCTTGGACACCTTCCACCAGCCCAGGTTGCTCCAAGCCCCGTCCAACCTGGCCTTGGACACTTCCAGGGATCCAGGGGCAGCCACAGCTTCTCTGGGCAATTACTGTCATACTCCCTTTCTCATAAATATATATATATATACACATATATATACACACAGAGAAAGAAAAATCCAGAAAGGGAAAGGAGTCAGTGCAGACTCTTGTTCCCTAAGGCTCAGGGAATCCCTGACAGTGAGGAAGATGGAACACTCCCCTGCCAAGCTATAGGAGCACACCTGGAATCATGGAGAAACATCACAGGCATTCCAACAATGTCACTGTAAATCACAGCTGAGTATCTTTGGCTGGGACATGTTCAGTGATGGGATTTTACACTTCTCTGCCTGAGGGTCCTGGCACAACACAGCCCAGTGTCTCCTGTGCTTCAGGCTGGAACACCAGGAGGAATTTGCTGCTGGAAAGGGTGGTGAGGCCTTGGCAGGGGCTGCCCAGGGAGGTTTGGAGTGCCCAGCCCTGGAGGTGTCCCAGGAAGGCCTGGCCATGGCACTCAGTGCTCTGGGCTGGGGGACAAGGTGGGGATGGGGCACAGGGGGGATCCATGGGCTGGGAGAAACCTGTTAAAAACATCCTCCTGCAGGAGATTGTAAGAGCTTTATTTTTCTTCTCACTTGAAGTAATGAGAAAGAAAAAAGCAGCACCTGAATCCCCCCCAGCTGAAGTATTGCAAATTTTTCCCTACATATTCACTATATATTCACTCCACAGTCAATATATATTCACTAAATTCAATGTACATTCACTGTATATTTATGGGCTGAAGCCATAAAACCCAAAAAGCCCCTCAGGAGAAATGCTTTTAGTCAAGTGAATTTTTCAACCCCACAGCTCAGTGTGGGAAAACAGAGACATCCTGTCTTTCCAATGACATTTAATGCACAAAACATTGACAGAGTGGGGTCCAATCTGGCTCCATCCTCCTCAGTGAGCAAAGCAACGGGCCCTGAAAATCCCAGGAATGAGCTGCTGTTCCATTCCTGCAGCATGATGGAGAAGAATTATTTTTTTTTTTATGGTAGAAATGAAAAATTTGTGCCTGTTAAATACTATCCTGAAAAAATTTGCGCCCATTAAACACTATCCTAATGAAAAGTTTGTGTCTGTTAAATACGACCCTAAAAAGGAGGAGGATCTTTGCAACTGTGCATGTTTTCAGAGTAAAACACAAAGCCCAAATCCAGGTGAACCCATGGGAAAACAAGGAAGGATATTTCATTTATCTACCTGCATAGTACAAAAAAAAAAAAAAAAAAATCAACGGATTTGTATCAGGTAGAGACCCTGGAATAGGGAATCACAGAATCCCAGGATCTCCTGAGCTGGAGGGACCCCCAGGGATCATCGAGTCCAACCCCTGGCCCTGCCCAGGACACCCCAACAAACCCACCACGAGCAATAATGTTGCAGATAATGATCAGTCTGATTAATTATATTTAAATAATACTCAGAGTGTCACTGTGAAGTGAAAAGGGCTTTCCAGGCTGTTCTGGTGGCAAATCCATCCACGCTCCAGTGCCCCGGGGTGGCCCCGGGGTGAGGCAGCAACGAGACAACAAACACGGGTGGGTCTGTCTTTTATACCAAGGATTTAATTCTCTATACATGGAACTAATTTTAAAGGCTGTATTACAGTTGTTAAAGCTGCAGGTTTTTATATATTTATATAATTTACATTCATAGTGATGAAATACTGAAGTGCAATTGAATGAGGAGCTTCACTTGTCCCTTGCACCGCAGGACGGGTCGGGAGGAGGGAGCTGGGAAGGGGTGGGAATGCTGCCAGCAGGGAGTTCAGGAATAAATGAAATACATAACCAGGGCATAACTAAATGGGAAATCATTAGTAAAGGGCTACATTGTGCTTGAGGCATTGGGAGGAGAGCACTGACAGCACCAGGAATTCCATCAGGAACTAACACGGCTTAGCTACAGCACATCTACAGCAACTCCACTGTAAGCTCCATTTAATATTAATTTGTATAAACTCCACAGTCTAAGTTTAAAAAAATGTAAACATTGGAAATTAATTGCAGGGAGATAGTTCTATACATTCTTTGTTGTCAGGAAAACGACTCGTTCGAAAGGTGTTGTTCCAGAGCAAAGCAAAACTGGGAAATCCAAGAGGTTCCTTCTCCACTCCCACATGGATGAGCATCAGATCATTTCTGACACGAAAATGCAACGAACCAAACGGAGACAACACAAACCAGGGTGTTTTCTAACTGTTTGCAGCTACAAGTAATGTGCAAAATAAAATTAACACAACTGGGTAAAACATTTTGCAAGTTCGTCTCTCTTGCACCTGGGGGGAGTTTCCCCCCTCCACATTGGGTTACACACTCAACAAGGAACACCTGATACAAACAGTACAATAACCACAACAAAATACCTGGCGTTGGGCACATTGAACTCATTTTAACTCCTTCTGGTCTTTTGTCATTAAAAAAAAAAAAAGAAAAATAAAAGAAAGTAACAGGAAAAAAAAAAAGACATATTGACAACACTGGACAAGTGAACAATAAAAAAGAAAGATACATAAAGTCTCCAATTCATGGACATTTGGAACAATTTTAATAGCACATGCAGCATTCCTTGATAGTGGGTCTTTTTGCACAACCAAAATTGCAATGAAGAAATTTAATTTATGCTTTTCCTTCCAAAGGCTAAAATATATCTTTTTAAAAAATAATTGTTTTAAAACTACCCAAAGCACCTGTGCAAAGGTGGAAACATTAGTTTGGTAACTCTGAAAGCCACAAAAGGACCCACTATCCTCTGATTTTTATTATTGTTTTTTTTTTTAATTTTATTTTTTTTGTGTGTGTGTGTGGTTTTGTGTTTTGTTTCGTTTTGTTTTTTTGAATAATTGATTTTGCATCTATCTGCAGGTCATGAACTCAACCATTGCGATTCCATGCAACTAATGGAAAAATGAGGTAAAACTGCTCTGCAGTGTGTTCTTCTACTCAGAAGGCAGTAGATGATCATGCTGGAAGCCACATGATCAAGGCTGCATCTCCCATCATCCCTCTGGGCAGTGTTATGGGATAGTGGGTCTCTTTGAGGACTTTCAAGCCTGAGTGGGGGATGGACAACATATGATTCCTAGAAAAAGGAGGAAAACAACACATAAGCAAAACAAAACAATGAGCAAATTCAAGCAAGGAAAATGAGTCAGGCGTGTCGAGGGCATGGAGCAAAAATGATCAGGGAGGGGAGGGAAGGGAGGGGAGGGGGGAAAACATGCCAGGGATGGGGGGGGGGGGGGGGGGGGATGGGAACTGAAAATAAAACAACACAAAGGTTTGCGCTACTGGAAGGTCTTCAAAGAGACTCGGCCAAGGGCACAGAGGGGCAGTGGGGCCTGCAGACCTCGGAGCCAGCAATGCTGCATGTTTGACCTCAGAGAGCACAGAGACAGGGCACTCACACTGCTGGCTGGGGTCCGTGTCCGTGGTCAGCTTCACGTAGTTGGAGGGGAAGAGCCCCACGTGGCCGTTGACCTCCCCCTTCCACCAGTCGGGGTCCTCCCTGTTGAGCACGGTGATGATCTGCCCCTTGCTGAAGGCCAGCTCGTCGTCGTTCTGCGCCGTGTAGTCGTACATGCCGATCACCTGGCACACTGAACACAGCCCTGTCAGCCCCTGAGGCACCAGGGACCCCCCAACCACAACCAGGGACACCCCTGGCCCTGCCCAGGACACCCCAACACTCCCCCCTGTCCCTCAGAGCATTGTCCAAACCCTCCTGGAGCTCTGGCAGCCTTGGGGCCGTGCCCACTGCCCTGGGGAGCCTGGGCAGTGCCCACCACCCTCTGGGGGAAGAACCTTGTCCTGACATCCACCCTGAGCCTGCCCAAGGGCACAAAACAGCCACAAACTCTGCTCTTGGCCCAGCACAGCCCCGAGATCCTGCTCTGCCCCAGCCCAGCCTGACCCCTCCTGCCCATCCCGGGGCTCAGCTCAGCCCTCCCCAAACTGGCTCCAGGTCATTTGAAGACCCGAAGAGTTTCATGGATTACACAGACTGGTTTGGGTTGGGAGGGACCTTAAAGCTCAAGTGACCTGGACCAGGGCCTCCCCACCCTCCCAGCCAGGAATTCCTTCCCAATATCCCATCTATCCCTGCCCTCTGGCACTGGGAAGCCATTCCCTGTGTCCTGTCCCTCCATCCCTTGTCCCCAGTCCCTCTCCAGCTCTCCTGGAGCCCCTTTAGGCCCTGGAAGGGGCTCTCAGCTCTCCCTGGAGCCTTCTCTTCTCCAGGTGAACCCCCCCAGCTCTCCCAGCCTGGCTCCACAGGGGAACTTTGTCTGGAAATGCCCAACAGTGGAAGAAGATTGAAAAAATGCGTAGTAAAAAGTCAAACCCTTCAAGGACATTGGCCTTCTACTGACAGCTCCCTTTTGCTTTATAACTACAGTTTTTTCCTAAAAAGCATCCGTTTATAAAAAGTGCATTCTGCATCTTCAGCAACCTGTTCTGAAAAGCAGAATCCCAGAATGGGTTGGGTTGGGAAGGACCTCAAAGCCCACCCAGTGCCACCCCCTGCCATGGGCAGGGACACCTTCCACCAACCCAAGTTGCTCCAAGCCCCATCCAACCTGGCCTGGAACATCTCATCAGGAGTGGTGGGTGGGCAGGAAAACCTGGGAAACATTTGAAATTCTGGTATCTGAAGCTCCCTAATCCAAGAGGAAGCCAGTGGTGATGTCCCTGCAGCCTCACAGAGGTGTCTGGCACACAGAAATCTTGGAAAAGAGGAGAGGAACAAGGAGCCTCCCAGGCCATCCCGGCTGCCCCTCAGCTGCTCCTGCTCCATCCCAGCAGAGCACCTTCCCTGGCTCTCTGAAGCACCAGGACTTTTATGGAAATAAATAGTTTCCTCAATTTCTCTCTGTTTTCTCTGGCCAAGCCACAGGACTGCTGGTATTTTCCCACCAGACATAAGACTTCTATTACTGAGCCTTTCTGGCAGGTTCTCTCCATTGGATTAATCCTAAAATTTGCTTTTATTTTCACTCTTGTACTCAGCCAGGAACTTATTTTAATCTGCCAAAAAGCTCCTCTCTTTTTTATTCAATTATGATTTAATCAAGATTTCGATGCTCTGCAGGCAATGAAAAAAGGGTTTAAAACTTCACTGTGTAAAATTTACCACGTGGGAAAAGCCCAAGACTGTCAGACCTGAAATAATTTCAAAAATGTTTATAAATGTATATAAATTCCCATCGTGTTGCCTGGTAAAAGTTTGTGTCTCGATGCTGACTCACCATTTTAACCCCAAATTTATGATGGTTTTGGGAAGACTGATTTTCTGCATCTTTAGATTTCTATCAGAGGAGCCAGAGAGCACCAGTTAGAGAAACATGGAATCATGGAATATGATCCTCAGGGTCCTTTTCCAACTCAACCATTCTGTGATTCCATGAAAAATCTCACAGTCTGTTGCTTTTGTGTCGTTTCCTAAACCTTAAAATACAGAAAAAAGCTCCATCTCCAGGGAGCATTTCCCACTCCCCCTCAGGAAAAAGGGAAGGCTCTGAAGGGGAGGTGTTTCAGTGCCAAAAAAACTCTAAAACCCCTAAAAAACCCCCCTCTAAAGCTCTCAAAACTGCTCTACTCTACGAGAAATAAACAATGGGTTTTTACAAATGTATCACAAAGTTGTGAGATATCCAAGTTCCAAACTGGACCTGGGTATCAGGGTCTTTTTCAGCCAGATAAGGGAAATATAAAAGTTCCTAAAAAATGAAAATCTTTCAGGGCCACGTGGAAATTTTGTACACAGGGGTTTCTTTTCTCTCTTTGGGCTCAGAACCAGGGAAGGTCCATCATTTTTGACAGAGGATGCCCAGCAGCCAATTGGAAGGAAGGGAAAGCCCTTTTTTCAGAGGAGAGAAACCTTTTTAGGCAAAAATGAATACATTAAACTTATCTGAAAAAGGGGTGGGATTTTGTGAAACTATAAAATGTATGGAATTTAAATCCTAAGGGTCTTCTTCCCCAAAAATCTCGGTGAGAGAAAGACCCAGCGTGCTGAATAAATCCTCTGTTTCACGAGTCTATGCCATCTTTCTAAATTCTAAAGAGGAATTTTAGGCAAAAATTAATATATTAAACTTATCTGAAAAAGGGGTGGGATTTTGTGAAACTATAAAATGTATGAGATTTAAACCCAAAGGGTCTTTATCCCCGAAAAACTCGGTGAGAGAAAGACCCAGCGCGCTGGATAAATCCCTTGTTTCACGAGTTTATGCCATCTTTCTAAATTCTAAAGAGGAATTTTAGGCAAAAATTAATATATTAAACTTATCTGAAAA